AGCGAGGCCTTGCAAGATCTCTAGCGTAACGAATCGGCCAGGAGGAAGTAAAACGAAGAAGCTCATTCGACACTCTGGTGGCCAGGGAACCACCCCAACCCAAACAAACACATTGCATCCTCCTGAAGACTCGAAGGTGCGGACATGCCTTCAGGCCGCTGTCCAAGCTCAACTGGAAGTGCTCAGTCACAAGAGAAAAAAGATCACTAAAGGTAGCAAGCTCAGTGGCCAGAGTAGGACGAATGAGATCACCACATGGCACTTCCCTCGAGTCTAAAAAGAAACCGCCCGCCTGGTGCTCGGTGAAAGGCATACGATAACCGTCCAAAGCGAAACCGATGACCAACTCAAGAAGAGTAACACGACACTTGTGGGGGGAAGTAAGATCAACCGCAATAAGCCAAGAAACTAAATCACCCACCTGGCGAGCAGAAAACTTGCCCAAACTAATTTGGTGGCTCAAGACTTCAGGGCCGAACTGAGCAGCCAACGAGGCGTCATTAGCCTCCAAGTCAGCGCTCAGCTCATTCAAAGTTTCAACTTCCGGGTCATGGCTCTCAGTAGGCAGGTTCAAGCTGGTCTGAGCAAGCTCCATCAAAAAGAGCTGCTGGGACCGAGTGGCATTTCGAGCCCGTCTTCTTCCAAACAGAAGGCCTGGTAGAGCTGCTGAAAGTCATGCGGCCTCATCTGATTCTGCCATTTTGCGATCTGGTCAACAAAGTCGTTGCCAAGCCGAATCCAATCTTCGCTGGGAGAGGCACACTCCTCCGCTGCAAGACGCGAAGAAATCTTTTGCAAGGTAATGCGACCAGGATCAATCTGCTTGACGGTGAGGTGAGCTTGCTGCCAAAGAACTTGGTGTTTCCATCTAGCAGGAACATCTTCGTGTGCCTGCAGGTACCTGAAGTTGTCAAAGGCGTATTGGCTGTCAGTGAAAATGGTAGCCGACCCGCCTGTGCGAAGAACCCATAGGAAGGCTGCGCGCACTGCCATAGTCTCTGCAACATCAATGGATTGGACTAAGCCAGGAACAGGTCCCTGAGCCAAGGTACGTTGTGGTTCCAAAGTTGTAACAGCCCAAGCCGCCAGCGCCTTGGAGGGTGTGCGCGGTGAGGAGCAACTGCCATCTGTGAAAATGAAGGTGTGGTCAGTCCAGACCTTCAAGTCCAGGAACTCCTCTCGACGGTCAGGCAAGCTCAACAATGCACCCCAATAGTCCCACTGATGAGGATTGGCAGGATGAAGTCCATGATGGGTGAAGGCAACTGATCTTTGTGGCCAAAGACGAACCTCAGCAGGATAGCGCATTCGCACGTGCTGATAGTCAGGACAATGAAGAGCCCTGTGCGTGACGGTGTCCGGGACCTGGCAAGTGCGACATAACCCAGAGTACTCACCGTCAAAATGAGCCTTGGCCTGAGGCGTGAAGAATGTACCATCTTGCACGGTGGCCAAAAGCTCTGCAGCGTCCATCTGTGGATAAACCAACGCACGGAAAGAAGCCTCCCAATTGATAGAGCTGAAACCGGCAAAGTCTTTACGACGCCGAACTTTTCGACAGACAATCTGCCGCCAACAATGTTGCAAGAGAATCTGCAAGCTTTCCAGCGAGAGAGTCCAAAAACTAAGGCGAAGGTGCTGGATCCAAAGATACAACTGAGCGTCGATATGCCAGTCCAGGTAGCCAAGACACTGCTCAACCACATGCAGCGGGCCTTGACTGTGAAACCCCGGATTGTAGCTAGACTGCAACCAAAGCTCCAGGATCAAAGGAAACTGATGCACCATACGCCAAAATGTGGATAGGACCTGCCATAGTTGCTGAAACTCAGGATCCATCAAAGGCGCTTGCATGAGAGACCATCGAATGTGCGGACTTGCTCCTGCTCGGTCCCAGCCCAGTGCTCGCATGGCGGCCGAACGAAGGTGGTCCGTGGCCGATAGTGGCAACAGCCGATTCGCAACTCCATGTAGAATTTTAGGCCAAGTAATGGTGCGAATAGCCAGAAGCTTGGCCCAATGAGGAGCCGAAGATGCCCTTAGTATATGCCAGTGATCTGTAGCAGCAGCAATACGTCCTTGTGCGGCTTGAGTCCGAGAAACCTTGGAGTAAACCATCTGGGCGCCGAGATCCTTAGCAGCCAGGCGTGTAGAGTAACCGAAACTGCGAAGAGCATGCCGGTCATCCGCAGAAGTAGCCCAAGCATAGCGTTTGCCAGGGTCAAGCTGAATGTCCCAAGCATCCATGAAGACCTGGAGGATGTTGATGCCATGACACAGAGAGCCCAAGCGATCTGCAACCAGCTGAATGTTGTCCACAAAGACCGGGCAGGCAACAGTTGGACTGTAGATCTTCAGGTAGGTGTCCAGGGCCATGTTGAAGGCAAGCGTGGCAATGCAGCTGAGAGGATCGCCTTCAGGAAAGCCAGTGCAAGAATGGACAGGATCGCCTGTGTGATTGGCGATTCGAAACCTTCTTTCAAGCTGCTGAAGCGCCCTCTTCCAGGCCGAGGCACAGTCAGCGGGAAAGCCCATGAGCTGCAGAAGGATTAGGATGGGCTGACGAGGCAATGCGTTGAAGCATTTGACCAGATCGGCATTGTAGCCGAGGAGATCAGAGCCCAGGGAAAAGGAGGACTGAATGAGGACCTGCAAGAGATACCATATATCCTCCGCACGTCTGCCAGGAACGTAGCCAAAGACCAAAGGAGGAATGATCTGAGCAAGGTATGGCAGAAAGGCACGGCATAGCCCAGTAGCCCAAAGTCGATAAAGGAAAGAGATGAGCACAATCGGCCGGTAGTGCTTTGCCATCTCTGCCTCAGGAATCTTGCGGATGGGAATGACAAAGCCGGTGACCAGCTGTTGAGGCCAGTTCGCACCCTGCTGAATCGTCTGGTACATGTTGACCAAGTCCGCCTGTAGATGAGTGGGCAGCTGCGCAATGTCTTCACGCGACCAAGCATCCGGACCACGAGTGCGTCTTTTGCGATAGTGCTGAGCCAAATGAGCAAACTGAGAGGTATTCCACTGAAAATGAAGAGGAGGCCGCTGAGGCATGAAACGCAAGGCAAAAGCAAGAATGCGATTCCAATGCGATAAAGCCAATCCAGCATGCTTTTGCCAGATGGGAGTCCAAAGGGTAACCAACTCCTTCTCCATAGCTTGAAAGGTACGGCAGGTGGACCGAGCAACAATAGTTTGACCAGGAGCCGGCAAAAGATCCCCATCGATCTTGTAGCCACCATTGGCCAGTGGAACGACATCCACAACCTCTTGATTTAGGGTGAATTGTTGGCCCAGATGGAGCTGTAGCGGACTGGAAAGCTGAACCGCATGATCAGGATCAATACGGAGGACTTGGGCCTTTTGCTCATGGATCAAGGACGTCATGGGGGTGAAATCACCCTGCTTCAGCTGCTTGGTAAGAACCTGATTGTGTTGCAAATGCCGAGCTTGAATCAGGTCTTGCCGTCTTCTAAAGTGCCAGGACTCAAACCGCCGAAAGTTGGCCTCAAAGTCATGGAGTAAGAGCAAAGCAAGAGGCAAAGGCGGTGGCCATTCAGGAAAGAGCGATGGAAGACCATTGCGTTGAAGAGGCCGACGAAGCCACCATTGTCGAAAACCATCGCGAAATCCATGGGCCTGGATGATAGCCCGCCAGGTGGCTTGCTGATCAAGCTGGAGTCGCCAATTTGTGGACGATTTCGCCCTTTGACAGTAGGCCTGTAGTCGTCTCAATTGCCGGCACCAAAGATGGACAGCTCGACAAAGAAAGCCACATTTCGGCTGAAGATCACCATGTCGACCAGGGTGCACTGGAACAAGCTGAACAGGCCGCGCTCGAGTGGATAGAGTCTGACCTCTGCCCCAGCAGGTTGAGGGAATGTCGATGGTAGCGGAGGCTTTCAGAGCCGATTCAGTGGACTTGGACCATTGGGCAAAGGAAGCTGTCATGTCTTCCGAATTCCATCGGTGAGCTGAAGTGATCGGCAATTGCTCAGGATGAAGATGCTGCCACGGTAGTATTGACGGCATCGGCCAACGCTGCTGCCACCAGTTGGAGGACGGGAGATGGAAGCAGCCATAGAGGATGGAGTGATCCGCAAAGTGATCTGAAGCCACAGTGACAGAGCAAAGCCATTGCTGAAGCTCAGGAGAAATCCAAAGATGATCGCGAATAGCCCTCCCCTTGGATGTGGGAGATCGGGGGGTAGAGAACCGCTGCTCCGCCAAATGCTGTGTCTCTTCCCATCCGGCAAGGCGCCATGTGGCAAAAGTCTGAAGATCTCCAGTATCGCAATTGAAGTCACCAGCTATGAAGCGGGGTCCAGAAGAGGAAAGGACCAGCTCAGCTGCGATCTGTTCCAAGAGCTGTGATGAGAGCTTCCTGGCCTGCCTATAGGTAGGGCCCGACGGAGGGGCGTAAACACAAGCACCAAGAATGGAATCTGCCCCGACTGGTACGAAGCTCCCTGCCATTGCATTGGAACAGGATGAATGGGACCCGGTGCAATCTGTGCAACACCCGTCCAAGCACCAGCAAAGTCAGAGTGCGGCCGCAAAGGAGCATAGTGACCATGCTTGCAGTGTAATTTGTGTTGAGACATCCAATGAAGTTCACGCTGAAAGCGAGCAAAAACAGGATAGCTGGCCTGCGTTTCTGCTACATTCCATATTCCCCATGGAAGAGAGGCGAAGGCCAAAGCTTTGCCATTGATGCCACTTGGATTTGCTGCGCCAACCACAAGACAGGAGGCGGAATCAACAGACTCATCCACTGCGCTGACATCAGAGTGAAGGACTTCGATGTGCCCAGTGCCAAGAATACCCCAATGCTTCGCAGAGGTCACCGAAGAGGAACTAAAGCAAGAAGAGGCCCCAGGGCCAGGATTGCTAGCTTCACCAAGACGGAAGCCACCCCAAAGAAGGAAAAGCCATAAGAATTGACGGCGTGGCCGCCACCAGCGGGACAGCCAAGAAGGCCCCCGCTGCCCTAGTCAATCGGAGGTGCGATGTCGCTTGCTGAGAAGCGACTCCATGCTCTCAAGCTGCCTGGCCATAGAAGCTTCCAAGTCCGACTGAAAGTCCTGGCGAAGTTTGCCCACTGTGTTGCGCAGCTGCTCAGTGCGCTGATCGGCCCTGGTCATCTTGACGGTGAGGTCGCTGAGTTGACTTTCCTGAGAGGCAACCTGCTTGGAGAGAGACTGCGTGCGCTCACCAGCTTCATTGAACCAACCAGCAAACTGAGAGGATTGTGCTTGCAGTTCAGAGATGCTGGCTTCCATCTGAGACAAACGTGAATCATCAGTGTCCATGCACGAGTCGGAGAAGGAACGAAGCTGCTCACGGACTTGTTCCGCAACAGACGTATGTAGCTGCTGAGAGATCTCCTCCAACTTTGAAGCTGCTGGCTGAGCTGAAGCCGTCGGCGCAGCTGGAAGTGCACTAGCCCAAGGATCGCGTACTTGTAGTGGATCTTCTCCTTGAGGAAATTGCAGACGCTGCAAAGTTTGCAGAGATCCAATAATCGGCTGAGGAGCCCTGCTCTTGATGGCCGCAATCGGTGTGATGATGAGAGACGCTGATCCAAGCTGCAAAATGGGCGAAGTGAAGGCAGTCTCCGCTCCAATCAGCCAGTACCGACCTTCAGGAGTTCCATGAGTAGGACGGAGTGGGCGAGCTGCCCAGCCCGCTGCTTGCAGGGATTGAGCGATAGACTGCTTGGTGGAGCCATAGGGCCAAGGACCAACTTCAAACTGAAGCGCATTGCTGCCAGCAACAAAGGGGAGCTTCGGCAGTACCAATTTGTGCACCGTTTCTTGATCAGCAGCTAAACATCGGAGACCATAGCGCTGATGTGAGCGAACAACATGGAGGGCTTTGGCAGTCTGGCATTTGAGGTGGATGGCAACCTTTGATCCAGATCACTGCATACTTTGTGCTAGGCCCCTTGGATAGAGGATCACGCATCTCAGTGTAAAGGCCATCAGTAGCCGAAATAGCCAGAAGGGCCGGAGCTGCAGAAGGAGGTACACGAACCATGATTCCAAAGGAGGCAGCCTTCTTGGAATTTGCTGTTGCTCCAGTTGCATCACTCCATTTCCAACCAAAGGCATCCAAGATGACCATGTCAATTTCTTCTTCAACCGCTGGATGAAAGCGCTTGCACGAAGAAGCATTGTTGCAAGTGGAACCATCACAGAACTGCAGGCAGTCAAAGTGCTGGACCAGGGCCTTCAAAGGTCTCAGGGTGAAGTCTGACCAGGCAAGTGGCCACTGGTCTTGATAGACTTGGAGCTTGAAGAGCTCGGGCACAAAGGAGGCTGGACTCGGAGCCGGTCCAAGAACCTTTTTGACAGCGTGGTCTCCTAACTGTACGCAGGAGCCCCGCACCAAAATGGGGGCGGCGCTATCGGCCAGGAGCGCTGGCCAAACCATGTGCTGCACAGTGAGCTTTCCGTGCATGGCACTGGGAATTTCTGTCGTTGTGAGCATGGCAAGCGAGTTGATGGAAATGGTTTTCTGCCCTTTGAGAAAATGAGCAGCTTGTTCCACCGTGCCAAGGATGATGCCATTGGACTCGGGGGTCACCTTGTCAATGGGAAGCTGAGCAAGCTCCTGATCGCGCTCGTCAACAAAGGCCTTGGGAGCTAGAACCAGTGCACTGGGAGACACTGGAGGTGCCGGTTCAGCGCGCTTCTTGGAGGGCTTATTGGACGATCTAGGTGCGGCACCATGATGCTCCTTGGCTCGCTTCTGGATGTGATTCATCAACTCATCATGCTGGATCCACTGAAAAGGACGTTGCTGTGAGTTTGCCAACTGCTTTAGGGCGGCCCATGGGTTGGCCTGAGATATAGCTTTGGCTACAGGTGCTTGACCAAGCTTTTTCAAGGCCAGAGTTGCCCGAGCTGGAGCATCGGCTTCTGGAACACCTTTCATGGTGAGGAACTTGCAGAGCCAGGCATGTGTTTGAGATTGCTCTGTTTGGCCACAGCCTCGGAGTTCTTCTTGCGCTTGAAGCGATGTTGCCCATTGTCGAAGCGCAGCATCTGTCATGGGCTGCCAGAGATCGAAATGGATGCCAAAGTTGCGCAGGAGGATCGCTGCACAATGGTCGCCACCATGTTGCTCTACTGGATTGCTCTGATGAAGTCGAGAGGAGGCAAGATTGAAAGTCTCCGTAATGAGAGAGATGACTTGCATGACAGAATCCAAGTGAAAATCACGAAGTCCATCGTAGTACCAGAATTCCGAGAGCTCGAAGTCCAAGATCAGGAGACTCCAATGCGATTGGAACAGCAGTGGAAAGACAAGCCAGGTGAAAGGACCATTGTGCTCGTTGATCAGTAGCTTAGAAGCAAAGCTGGCCGGACGCTTGAGGATCAACTGGACGATATGGTGAGGAACGACCTGAATGGCTTCCCGAGTGGAATTAGGCAGTACCTGGAGGATTTGACGCAATTCCTCATAGGCTTCAAAGTGATGAACCCCCGTTGCTGTGGGCACATCAATGCCTACGCCACGAACCTCGCCCTGCTCATTCTGCCACAGAGCATCTCCACATCGAAAGCTGCGGAAGAGATTGCAGAACTCGATGCCAGGCTTGTAACGAAAACCAAGCGTCTCCAGGATCGTGGATAGGCGAGTGCCTGCAGGACCATGAAATTCGTAAGACGCAACACCATCGTGCAACTTGACAGAGATGAGATCGGTGGGTGCAGGGCGTGTGTGCTTGGGCCTTGAGACCACAATCTGATACGCACCACCTCGTAGGAGAGCATTCGGAAGCTGTGGAACGCCATCTCTGTAGAGCGTGGTGCGGTGAGCCCAACCCAAGAGCTGTTGATGTGCGTGCAAGAAGTGCTGCACTGAGGTCATAGGTTCAACCAGAAGGGAGAATGAGGTGTCATCCTCCTCAAAGTGAACTTCTTGTTGATGCCGGTGCTCACATGTGGGCCAGAGCTGCTTGCAAACCTCGAGATTGGTGTTGATGTAGGACAAGAGGACCTCATTAGGGCTGTCGAAGTTGATCTGCCAAGAGCCAAGTCCATGAAGCTGAAGAGGTCGCAGAGCATGACACAGCGCCCAAATGGTCTGCAAAGGCGCAGCGATCTGTCCGATGAGTGGCAAGTCGGATCTGGGCTGAGTCAAGTTGAAGATGAAATCAGCCGGAAGACTACACAGAAAGCCTGCCTCGCACGGATGCAAGTGACGGTAGTGATTGGCTGAGAAGGTGGATGGAAGCATTGAAAGCGCAACCCCGTCTCGTAGAAGCCGTTCATGACTTAGTCCCTGATGCCGGCGCCCGCAAGGACAAGCAAATGGATGATGTCCAAGACTGTGAAGAAGAGTTGGGCGTGTGCCTGACAGCCGCAATTCATGGTTCTCCAGGATCAAAGTTGATGCATAGAAGTCAGTTTCTTCCTGAGTCCACGAGAGGGCATCTTCTTCCGATCTTGACCAAAGAGGCCACGAGGGCATGATGTCACCACTGGTCTGCAGGTGAGGGAACTTTGGCAAAGACGGCAGGATGCTGATGTGATGAGCTGCTGAAGCAGGAACAAGGATACACCACCACCTGGTTCTCTGACAAGGCCATACATCAGAAAGCCGAAGGATCTGTTGCCTGCTCTCAAAGTTCATGGCCTGCGCAAAGGAACCAAGTGGATCTTGGACTTCCCGATATTGGCCGGTCGTTGGCGTGCATTCCAAAATGACATAGGCCGAATTGTAGAGGAAGGCAGCGTTGAGCGCAGCAATGAACACTTCAGACCGGCTGTCACGGAAAGCTTTTTGGTCTCCCATGACACTAAAGGGGGGACAAGGAAAACCGCACATGAGACCCATGCTATTCCCTTGCATGACAACAAAAAGCTTTGCCAAATCCTCAGGGTTGCAGATATCACCCTGAATGGCAGCACCCTCATGGTTTCTTCGACAAGCAGCGATGGCCAGTGGGGAGTGATCCATACAAGCCACGTTGCGCAATCCCAAGGCTGTAGCAGCCACCGTCATGCCACCTAATCCTGAACAGAGCTCCACCACCTGATCAGCTTGGAAGGAACCGAGACGCACTATCCGAGTGGCCTGAATGATCTCAACTTGAGAGGAGGGAGACACGAAAGGTAGGACAGCGGGAAGAGAAGAGAACGCGAGAGGCAGGAACAAAAATGCAATGTTCGACATGGTGATTTATCCCCTCGGAGGCGACCTTTCGTAAATATATGTTCATATGCACTTTAAATGTTCAAACATGTGCTCTCGAAATGTTCAAAAAGATACTTAGGAAAACAAACTTGCCCCATGGCTCAGATCATCAGTGAGCATTGAATCGGAACATCATAGGATTTGAACTATCCTGAAACCATAAGAGGCTCACGAAGACGCTCCCCAGGAGAGAATTGACGTGCTTCACAAAACAAACTCTAGGTATGTATCCCCTCGGGGAACACCTTTCGTGATTAGAATTTCATATTCACTCTTTCTGAATGTTCAAGAGGGTTTCAACTATCCTGAAATCATGAGAGGCTCGCGAAGACGATCTCCAGGAGAGAATTGATTTTAGAGGGGGGGAGGGGGGGGG